GTGAACTAACGCCTCCACCACGGACGCCAGATGCGTCTGTAACGCAACGCAGCGAGACATTGTCCCTGCTACTAAAACTCACTCGCTGTTGTCCCGGGTTTAATTAAAAACTCAACTCCGCATTGAGGGCTCATTAAAGTACGCAAACGACAGTAAATATACTTTAGGAAACGGTGGGGTGTAATAAACGGAAGTACAACAGCATGCGACAATTATAATCCGGGTCCTAGAATGCATAATAAAAGTGCATTGTTGACTTAGTTTTTTTGTACAGTGTGTTTTGTCATTTTAATATACATGTAGTTTCAAATTATTCCGAAAACGACTGAAAAATAGGCTTTTTGGTAATAAATTTGTAGTTCTTAATTTAACTAACAGCTGTCCTACGTCATGACATTTTGTGACGTTTACACAAAGCGCCAAAATCGTATTTATTTAATTTTAAATGAATTAATTTATTTTCTCTCCTTGTCCTTTCTTTCAAAGTACTGCCCATAGTCCAGTAGGTGGCGGTAAATGTACCTTTAAGTTGGTTTGCCAACCGCCAATAAAATTAAAAGAAGATGATAGTGTTATTTTCTGGCATATTTGAACAGTTTCAACGTGACCGTCATCTCTGGTAAGAGCGTTAATAAAACATTAAGTTGAATTGCTTTGAACTAACCTTGTTATTTTTTGCAAAGTCGGTCAGATGTGCGAGTGTTTAATCACGCATATGCATTTCTGTATTCGTATTCGAAACATTTTCGCTTAATCTTAAACTGTTTTTTTTTTTTAAATAAGTGAGAAGTGATAAATTCGGTCATTTTTCAATGTTTAGCGTTCATATAAAATCACGTAAAAAAAAAAAAAATTCTTTCGTATGTTGTGCAGTTAATACATGAATGGATGATTCCGTGTTTTTTCTCCCTCACGCAGTCATGGGTTTACTGGAGCAGTGTGAGGAGCTCTTCGAGACCTCTGGCCTGTATGAAGTTCTGGGTGTTTGTAAAGAAGCATCTGACTCGGAGGTCAGACGCGGATATTATAAAGTCTCTCTGCAGGTTCATCCAGATGGAGCTCCTGGGGATGAGTTAGCCACCACCAAGTTCCAGGTAACCACTGTATTTCTAATGCAGCACTTCTGCCCAGAATTCGGTTAGAACCTTCTTGAATGGTCTGGTGTCCTCTAAAGTAGTAGGAAGCGATTTCAAAGGTGATCCACAATCAACATTAACCCTCTGGTGGGTTACTTACGGGTCACACGATCAAAACTCACCAAACACCTTGTTAGATCAGATCTCCACTCCAGGAATATTAGATCTATTGTCTGCTAAACCAGTTATAAGCAGGTCTTGTTTGATACCCAGAATCAGTTAACAAAAGTGTGTTTTGTCTGGTACTAGAAGTCTTCTATGAGCCTAAGAGGTTGATAAAGGAAGCCAAAGAAGAGCAGAAGACCGAGTGATTGATTATGAAAACTGAGCAGTGTTTATGGATTAATCTTAGTTGTGTATGTCCGTCCAGACTGGACTTTGTCTGACCAGTTCGAATCCAACAGATGTCATTATGCCAAAGCAATGGAAAATGACTGCTTCACAACATTGTCCTGTAAAATTAAAAGAAAAAAAAGAAAGGTTGGCACACTACAGCCCCAAAAATGTTTATTTCATTGTTTTCACTACAGGTGACGTTTTGAGCCGTATGGCTCTTCATCAGACAATGAACACGTATACTAATGAGCCCTTAATTACTAGCAGAAATTACATCACATGATAAACCACATGACAGAAACCCAACAACTAAACACTCGGGAAAACAAATTACATAGCTGAAATAAAAGTGAAAACATAAAATACCAAGAACAAGTGATAACATTATATTTAAACATTCGGTTTCCACACTACACTACATTGGCATTGAAGCTGTCAAATTAGCTCGTAGAGGGGGTGATTTTAACTATTTGCTTTTAAACCGTGTAGCCTATCGGAATTATACTTTGAACACATTATCACCTAATGGTCTTAATGAAGAGTTTGATATTCCTCCTTTTTTGCATTCATGATGCTGATTGTATTTGTGTGTTTTTGATCAGGTGTGTAACTGTGTATGTTAGATTGTTGTGACTTGTTCTTGACTGTGTCATTTGTTCAGTAGTTGTATTATTATTATTATTTTTGTGTGTGTGTTCAGTATATGTGTTCAAAACAGTATCGGGCTCAAAACCTCACCTGTGGTGAGAACATGAACTAAACATTTTTGCATTTTTTGGAGCTGTGGTGTGCAAACCTTTATTTTTTATTTCTCATTGTTTACAATAGCTGAGCACCCTCATTGAGGTTATCACCTAATGGTCTTAATGAAGAGTTTGATATTCCTCCTTTTTTGCATTCATGATGCTGATTGTATTTGTGTGTTTTTGATCAGGTGTGTAACTGTGTATGTTAGATTGTTGTGACTTGTTCTTGACTGTGTCATTTGTTCAGTAGTTGTATTATTTTTGTGTGTGTTCAGTATATGTGTTCAAAACAGTATCGGGCTCAAAACCTCACCTGTGGTGAGAACATGAACTAAACATTTTTGCATTTTTTGGAGCTGTGGTGTGCAAACCTTTATTTTTTTTCTCTCATTGTTTACAATAGCTGAGCACCCTCATTGAGGTTTTTTGCCTCAGATGTGCACATAAAATTGTATTTTCTGTAAAATTAAAAACCTTTAAATGGAGAAATTCTTATCTCTTACGCGGTTTAACTTTACTAATAAGATTAAATAAGCACTACAAGAGAAGGGAAAACAAGTAAAATAATATGATAAAAAAAAACTAAGTGATTATATCATCAAGTAGAAATCATTTTAATTAACTCATCAAAAAAAAGATGTATGGTTGCTCTGTTAAAGAAACACAAACACAGGTAGCTGTTAAAACACATTTTTAATGTACTATATTTTAGCTCAATATTTTATAATTAGCATTTTGAGTAGATTGAAAATGTTTTTTTTATGCTACTAAATGTTATTTATGCAATAATTATATTCAGTGCATTTCCGTCTAATACTTTTTTTTTTGTAGTATCTTAAGGTTCAAATGAAAAATATTTCAAATCCAGTGCAGAGGAAAATTAGAGCCATCTTGTGGCAGGAAAAATATATATTCTGACGTAATTCCATCGTGTAACCACTAGATGAGTTCTCTATATTTTTCTATTTGTATTTCCATTTCATTTCATTTCTTTCCATTTCCAATTTTTGACCGCTGAAAGTAAAAGTGGGACTTTTTAAAAACTTTTTTATTTGACCCTTTTTGAATCATAGCAATTTTTTGTGTTCACATAGCTAGTGCAAAAGTGCACATAAGCAGAAGTGACTTAGGAGTACCAGAGGTTTACATTTTAAAATTTAATCATAAAATTAAAAAAGAAAAATAATTACATAAATACATCCTATAACCTAACATTTTCAATATTTCCACAGATGCTGGGAAAGGCTTATGCAGTGTTGGCTGACAAGGACCAAAGGGCAGTCTATGATGAACGGGGAATAGTGGACGAAGAGCCAGACACCCTTGATCAAGATCGCAATTGGGAGGAGCACTGCAGAAGATTGTTTCCCCAAGGTATTTATTTTTTTTGTACCATGTATTGTTTTATGTGGTTTTTTTTTTTTCAAAGGCAGTTGCTAAAATGACAAATTCTCTGCTATAGATCACATTGCAAGATATCTTGGACTTTGAGAAGCAGTATAAAGGCTCTGATGAAGAGGTAGAAGACTTGAAGAGACTGTACCTACAGTATGAAGGTGACATGGATCTGATCATGGAGTACTTCTGAAGATGAGCCACGTGTCAAAGACATACTACAGAAAGCCATTGACGCTGAAGAGGTGCCAGCCTACAAAGCCTTCACTCATGAACGTGCCAAGAAGAACAACAACCGCAAAATAAAGGTGCTGATTCACTTTCTAAAGTTTTGCTATGAAATTATTTTTTTAATAAGGTTTGAGTCTTTGATGAATTATCCTGACATTCTAGGCGGAAAAAGAGAAGGCAGAGGAAATGCAGAAGGAGATGGGCTTGAACAGTGAGGGCAGCCTGGTAGCCATGATTGAGGTAAAAACCATTAAGATGTCACAGGCTGTATTAATCTGCCAAATGTGTACTCTATATGAATAGATTTTAAAATGTAATTTATTCCTGTGATGGCAAAGCTGAATTTCCAGCAGCCATTGCTCCAGACTTTTGAAAGGTAGTGCATGTGCAAATCTGTACAAAGGTAAATAAAGGACCATTTGGATGGAATTAGTTTTCTAAATGACATTTGAGTTTGTGTAGTTCATCTTTCATTTAATGTACTGTGAATTAATACATGACCTACAATAACCTCGTTTTTATCAGAAATGAGTAAGTAACCATAAGCTGCATGCTGAAAAGGCAAATACTGAATTATTAAAGTATTGGAGTTCAATCACAACCTCTTTAAAAGTATTACAATTGACTTTATGGCTTCTGTTTCTTATTTAGCAAAGACAAAAGTCCAAAGAAAACGGATTCAACTCTCGGATCTGGAGGCGAAATATTGCAAGAAACCAGCAGCAGAAAAGAAGGGCAAGAAAAATTTGACATTCATAATACTGAGCTATTTCTACCAAATGTTATAAAATCCATCTTGTAAATAATAATCAAAGGATGCTTTATAATGGATGCTGACCCGGTTTAAGGAAGCATATTGAGACTAATAACGTGACACATTTATTAAAGTGGATTAGTGTGAATCTGCTTCATGTGTTCCTGTCCAGACCAGCTTGTGGATCAAATAAGAATGAAAAATTAAGTGTTACTTTAACAGTTTTTTTTTTTTGTATATGTGTTTTCCTGTTTCGTAAGTGTTGGATGTATTATTGTTCATGATTATCTGAATATAATAAACTTGTTCCGATCGATATGAAAGTAGTTCTTCTTTTTAGTCATATAGAATAGAACACTCAACACTGAAAATATGAAACAACCAGCACAAGGTCACTTCTTTTAAAGTTACATTTATTTTCAATAAAAAAGCATTTCAACTGGGCTTTACGACACTACACTGTAGTAACAACTGATTACTTGGCGACACTGAGGATATCTGAGGAAAGCTGGGCTGTCCGAACTCTGCGTCATGAAGTATTTTTTGGATCTGAAGCTTCACCAAGGACTGCTTTGAAGCAGGAAGGCGTCTTAAAGCAGGTGCTAAGCTCCGAAGAAATAAATCGACTTCATCTTGCTGTTCATCTTTCTCTCTGTCTTTTGCATCTTTGGATGCCAGATACCTTTCCAACAGCTCTAGTGTCTCTGATCGCCTTCTCTTTACAATGTCAGCTCCTGGACTTGTCACTGATGTTCCTGTACTGGTGCTGGCTGGTTCGGCCCCGCTGTCTTCATCTGGCTCATCATCCTCGATTTTGCTGGGAAGGCTGTCCAATAGAACACTGTACACCGATTAAAAACCATTGTGAATAACCATGAGTTTTGTATGCTTCATTACAGTACAGATAAACTTTTGCTAAAATTTAAATACAATTAAATGATAGTTTCCCACTGTGCTACAAAAAGACTAAATGATGTTACCTGATTAAGTTAATAGAAGATTAATCGGACCATTTTTACATATTTATTGGTATACCACAAAAACGTGCACATGGCGGCAGTTGTGAAGGGGTGATTAAACTGACATTAGATGAAAATCTTCACATAAATACCTAATGTTTTTAATTAATTTTGATTGTTTGATATAGTCAAGATCAAGTTGTTCTAGACAAATGTTTTATGTTAAAGGAATACTTTATCCAAAAATGAAAATGTGATGGAAATGTACTCACCCTCATGCAATCCAAGACGTAGATACGTTTCTTCATCAGAACAGATTTGGAGATATTTAGCATTACATCACTTGCTAACCAATGGATCTTCTGCAGTGAATGGGTGCCGTCAGAATGAGAGTCCAAACAGCGGATAAAAATGTCACAATAATCCAAATGACTCCAGTACATCAAAAAACTGCTTGTTTGTAAGAAAGAAATCCTTCAAATGTTTTTAACATCAAACCAGTGCTTCCTGCTAAAATGAGTCCTCTACCCATAAAATTGCTTTCTTGTCTCAATCAGTCACCGTCTGAATCAGGAGAGAAATCACAGATCAAGCAGAGTTTACAAGTGAAAACAGCCCAAAACAGTTCTAAACAAATATGCCAGTGAATTTTGATGTGAGAGGACAACAGGGGATGGACTTTTTCACTGGATGAAGCATTATTGTGGATTATGGACTGGTATTTTGAACAGAAGCGGGAGTTTCAATGTCAAACTGCCTTAATGGGTTTACTACAAATACACAGATTTATACTTCACAAGACTTTAATTGATGGACTGGGGTCGTGTCGATTAGCTGTGGATTATTGTCATGTTTTTAAACAGCTGTTTGGACACTCATTCTGACGGCACCCATTCACTGCAGAGGATCCATTGATAAGCAAGTGATGTAATGCTAAATTTGTCAAAATCCGTTTCAATGATGAAAAACTTATCTACATCTTGGTGGCCTGAGATTTTCATTAAAAATTTTTTTTAATTTTATCAAATACTACTAATAGGGCAGACTACAAAAAAAGATGGAATTCATGCTTTTATTACACTTTAGCAATGTGACATTGGTGTTCATAGAGGAATACTAACGTACTTTGCAGTATACAGTGTGAGAGTGTATTATTACTAGAAAACAGGAATGTGGAAGTATGCATTATGCAATGCTAAATATTTCAAATATTAACTTACTATGCCATATTGTGTTTAATTCTGCCTGCAGCATCCAGTTGTCATCTCCAAAATAAAAATGCAATTTATTTATAAACATTGAATCCAATTTTGTATGAAAATGTCTGCATACTTGCCAGCCCAATCTAATAATAAACTAGAAAATGATATCACACTGGAAATGGATTTTAGTGTGCTCCGCATTGAGAAATGTCATGAAATGTTAAGTAGTATAGTAATATGCTATTTCAAGCATAACTTAAATATCACAAAGGCAGTCAAAAACACAATTTGATACACAAGTGAAACGAGAAAAAAAATAATAAATAAAAATAACCAGGATTTTAAGGACCAGTATCACACGTGGAAAAAAAACAAAAGTTGCAATGACGTCACAGCTGTCTATTGGATTTTAATAACGAACATATAGTGAAATCTAGGGATGGGCGTATCGATATATCGATACTGACACGAGTATCGAAAGTATCGATACTCAAACAAAAAATATCGATACTAAGGAGTGTTTTATTTACCAGTGATTTTATTTATTTAAAATAATAATAATAATGCATACAAATGCATTGAATTGGACGAATAACCTTTGTTAGCGAGTAATTGTGTAGGAACTATTTTCCTGCTCATCTGAACAAACACAAATGTTGCAAGACAGAACCAATCAATCAAAGAGAGCGTTCACTCACTGCTGACAGTGCATTCAAACAGGGCTGCGTTTCCCAAAAGTATCATAAGAAAGCATTAAAGCTTTTGGGAACGGCAGCCCTGAACAAAGCTTATCAGAGGACAGAAAAAAAAAAAACATATGTTTGAGTTATTTCACAATAAACAAATTGAAATCGTAGCCTACAGTTTGTGCAATTACAGTTATTTAAATTGAAGGTTGAAAGATAATATAGATCGTGTTCTATTCTGTAATGTTAATAGAAATCATACACTGTCAGAACAAAAAGGTTGCATTCTATGCGTGCAACAGCCTGTTACTGGCAGTCCCTTATGAAAATGAACCATGGTTTTACTAAAGTGACTGTAGTTTAACTGTAGTATTTGTAGATTTGAATCATGTGTAAACAAAAAACACATTTGAACCATGTGTAAACAAAAATATAACCTAATAAATTACAATTAAGGCGTATTGAATGTTAAAATGTTTTTTAAACATATAGCTAAGTGGTTGTCATTACCCATTTTACTCTTAGTAATTTAATAAATTTCATCATTTAAAAGTTTATTTCATAAGTATCGTATCGGTATCGATATCGACGATACTGCCTTGAAAAATATCGATATCGACGATACTGCCTTAACAAATAATCAGTATCGATATCGACGATACTGCCTTGAAAAATATCGGTATCGTATCGAAAACAAAATAAGTGGTATCGCCCATCCCTAGTGAAATCAAAATGGGACATTTTTTGTTTTTTCAAACTCTGAAGTCTTGCAAGCAGACTTAAATGAAACGCACTCGAATACCTTCTGTGCTCTGTGGAGGGATCGAGAAAGTCCATCACTCGCATATATTTCCATTGCTTCTTTTTCTTAGCTGCCCTTCCACCCCGACTACCATCCTGCTCCAGCCGCTTTTTCCTGGTGTATGTGTCTCTTAGATTTTTCCATTTAGCTTTCACCTCTTCCACTATACAAACACACACACACACGTTGGTGGTGGTTAGGCGCGCTGACAGTAACGCTACATAACAAGCGACACCAACAAAACTCACCATCGACTCCCATTTTGTCTGCTATTCCTTGCCAGAGAACTTCTTTCCGCTTCGTGTTTTTGTACTCACTGTGGTTTTTATCAAATAATTCCTTGTTCTCAGACACCAAAAACAGCAACAGCTCCGCGTCCATCTTGACTACCATTCTTCTTCTAACGATTCTATTGCGGGATTTCCCGCTTCAGCGCCACCAAGTGTGGAGGAGAGGCGGGATCGGATACGTAAAGGAAAGGCTTGAATCTGATTGGTCGGTGAGTTTTTTCTCTCAGTCAACGAAAAAAAAATTAATTAATCGTGCACAAAGTACTATGAATGTAAATATAAATTGTCTTTAAAAAAACAACAACATCTTATTAAACATGTCTCATTAAATTAAAAAAAGAAACAGTACATCCTTAAAAACAACATACAAGTATTTTTTAAAAAACAATTGAAAACTATTTCTTGGTACTGATTTTATTGTAAGATCATTAAAAATCGTAAAAATAATTGTAAAAACATACGTTCAAATGTTTTCTTCAAAAACGGCTACAGTGTACTGATTGATTAGTACTATTTGAGGTAGTGCAGTGTGTCCTTGGAATCCAAATTCAGACGCTTCTTGATGCACTTACAAATATAATTATTTATACAAGAATAATATATATGCATAATAATTACATTGTATAAAAATGTATTTGATTACAATCATAATTATCTTCTATTATCATTTTCGATTTATAACATTTTTTTTCCAATCCAGGCATACTCTAATAAAAGTCCTCCTCTGAATATCACTGAAGATCCCTTCGAAAGTATTCTGGTTATCACAGGTTCAGGTTTTCATGTCTATTTTATCTTCAAGTTATTAAATTAGTGGTAACATAATGCATATTAGATACATGATTACTCAAGTCCATGTCATTTTCTTGATAGTTGTTGCTGATTGGCCCATTCTTGAATGAGCTGATGGCATAAGCCGGCGGGACCCAGAACACAGGTGGCTCTCTTCTGGGGTCAAGTGGCGGTTTCCGTAGTGCTTCTGTTATTTCTTCATAAGTGAACCAGCGAGCATCCTCAAGTTCTGCCTTGTCAATATTCACCTATCCATGAACACAGTTAAAGCAGTTTAAGTTTATAACAACAGCAATATCTCTACTCTGCTGTCATTGGGTTAAATAAGTATGTTTTGATATGCCTGAATGCTTTCCAGGGTCTCAAAATAGTATTCATTCAGTCATTTTCACATTTTAATGACTGAACCAATTCTCATCCATGTTCTATAACTGACAGAGAAATACTGTATACACATTTTACCAAATTCATTACAAATTATCAGAAAATAATTTAATGTAAAAGCAGAGACTCAAACTAGAGAGTCCTACATGTGTCTGAAGGCAATTATTTTTTATTTTATTTATTTTTTAATACAGTTCACTTAAAGGGGTCATAGGATGCTACATGCACTTTTACAAGTTGTTTGAACTGAAATGTGTGTTGGGAGTGTGTGTACACAACCACCCTATAAGGATAAAAATCCCCCAAGTGTTTTTTTATTAATCTGGTTAAATGTTTTCCCCTTTCTCAAATCGAGCCGATCTCAGATGCCTATCTGTGTGACGTCACACAGACAGGCCCCTCCCACGATAGTTTGATTGACAGTAGCGTTTCAGCACAGACTGGACTGGGGTCTTACCTTAGACCCGCCCTGAGTGAGCTGTCATCAGTCCGCCATTGTTTCACCGCCGGAGCAGATGCAGACAAGAATGACTCCTAAGCGATTGAGGTGTTCTGTTGTTGGATGTAATAATGAACATAGCAGTCGTCATTTACTCCCGACATCTGAGCCGCTGAACTTGCAGTGGATTACATTGTTTCTAAAGGGAATGCGCCCCCGATCTACATAAATGTGTCTATGTTTGCGTGAATCATTCGTGATCCAGCCTCATCTACAGAAGAAGTGAGTATAATGTTTTGTAATGAATCTTTGCAAATTGCCTTTCCTAATAATGTGCTAATTAGCAAGTTTCACGATGAATGCGGCTAAAATAAACTCTCTGAAAGCAGCTCGGAAGAGAGGGGCGGGGTCAGCATAGCTCATTAACATTTAAAGGAAAATGCTACAAAAACTGCTTGCTCTGAAAAGAGCCGTTTTTGACAGTGTTTTTTACACTACCATTGAGAAATTTTAACCAAACTATGTTACAGACTTTTCATTAAGACCCTAAAGAATCATATCAACTTGTGGAAAATGGGCATCCTATGACCCCTTTAAAGGGGTCATATGATGCAATTTCAAATTTCCCTTTCTCTTTGGAGTGTTACAAGCTGTTCATGCATAGATAAGATCCCTAAAGTTGCAAAGTCACATGTGGTTGCCGCAAGCCCACCGGCCGCGCCGTTCTCAAGCCCGCCGGCCTCCGCTCACTCAAGCCCGCCGTGTGTGACGCTATGTGTTTCGTTGTGAAAGCGAAACTTTGTTTGGCCTTCCAAAAGAGGACACAACTAGAAATCAGTGGTTAAGTTGTATTTACAACACTGTTCCAGAACAGTTCAACCCAAATATTCAGATGTGTGCAGCACATTTTATACAGGACTGTTTCCTGAACCTGCAGAGTAGCCTACAATGGGTCTGTGCACAAAGGCTGTTTCTATAAAGTGGGGCAGTTCCAACTTTGCAAGAACAGTCTGGCGCTTCTGACTCACAGCCTGTAAGTAAGTTTTTTATATTTAAAGAATTTGCCACTGACTATTCAAACGCGAGTTTTGAGCAGTGTAGAGTAGCGCTTGTTGTTTGTTGTTTCTTCGATCACAAATGCAGACATGGTTTTATGTTTACGCAGCACAATATGCAACGCGTACAAAGACAGTATAAGTAATTAATATCAGAAATTATGTCCCCACTGGATGCAACAAATGCCTCGTTTATAATGGGTTTTCATGTTTTTGAATCATCGCTCCAGCCGGACAGGGCATCACAGTATGGTAAGGGGCGTAACATTTCCATTGAGGTATTCAGCCAACCATAACGCACTGGATAGCTGGCAAATCAGAGCACACCTCGCTTTTCAGAATGATGAGTTTTGTAAAAATTTACGCATTTCAGAAAGGCGGGGCATAGAGGAGCAACAATAATGTACATTATGTGAAAAATAATGTGTTTTTGAACCTTAAACCGCATAAACACATTGCATTATACCAAATACACAACATAATGTTCTTTTTAGCAACGTCATATGACCCCTTTAATAATATAATGTATGTCTTTAATCTGTAGTGTCTCACTAATAAGTAGTTTAAGGGATCATCCAAGTCTCACCTGCGTTTTATCTGGGTTTACAGTTGCGTGGCAGGCTAACATAAAGGAGTTTTGTGGGAATGGCCAGTGCTGTGATCCAGAGTACTGAATGTTCTCCACCTCTAGACCCACCTCTTCTGCAACCTCTCTGTGCAGGGTCTCCTCCACTGACTCTCCTGCAAAATGTTTTGATAGAGCAAAATGATTAGGTAACTCCACAGAGTGATATGGTGTGCACAGCAGCTTGTAATAAAGTGTGACTCGTCCATGTCACAGAAGCCTGAGAGCGCGCTGTACATGCCTAGAGGAAACATGGTCTGGCGCGCCAGCAAACATCTGCTCCCATCAGACACCAGCACGATCACAGCAGGTGCCATCTGCAAGTCAAGGACAAACAGCTTCATGCTAATGTTTTCATTGTGTACCGTAATTTAAGGACAACAAGAAATGGCATTCGCAATTCATTGTACTCCAAAATAGGATATTCAACGCGAAAATTGATTAATCAGGAATTAATTGGGTAGTAAGTGGGCATTCCATACCAGAATGGATTCGGACCTGTTTATAAAATCTACTGTCTGGGACACTGCATGGCCTTAAAACTTTCACAATTTTTAGTTTTTTTAATTACTTTAAACTTAAAACTGCTTTAAACTTAAAACTACTTAATTAAAGCTTAAAACCTTCAAACTTTTCCAAAATGTATGGCTAAGTTTTCTCAAAGTTTGTATTGATTCACTTTTTTTATCTAGTTCAAATCTGTTGTTTGCTGATATTGCCATAGCCTTTATTACATTAATTTTAACTGCCATTATTGTGTAAATTACTATATTAGACTTTATTACATACAGTAGTAGCCTGAAACAATGTCTAAATAGCTATTTAGATACTGTGAAAATGGCAATATATCTTTATTTAGAACAGCACATTAATATTACTCAAACCTGCGTCAGTGAAACATATCAGATAAAACAGAAATTATTTTAAAAATCGGACAATGCTTTCTGTCAAATGCCATGTATGTGCATATTGTGGCAGTTGTAGTGTTGTCTGGCATCGTGAAAAGCACATGCTTACTTTGGGGTAGTAGGTGATGCCACTGCTGTGGCAAACTCTGACACTTCCTGATTGGTTCCTGATGGTAGGCTGCCCAGTGGCACTGCAAAAGCAATTGGTCTGGTGCCATCGAAGGAGAGCTTGTCGCTAAAACAAACACCATATAACTTCTCAGAGATGGTCAACATACGAATAGCTCCAACTTTATTCATATAGAATATCTTTCGTTTTTGCTTTTGTAACAGAAGTAGCGAAATATATTTTCCAATCCAAATATATCCAAGTGTTTCAATTATTGAAAAAAGGAGGGGACTTGGCTCTATGCATCGGCTGTTGACTGGATGAAGGCAGATCTGAATGTGAGCTTGTAGTCAGTTGTAATAAAGAGGTGGAGTTTTAGCAGATGACTGGAGAAGTACTGAATACATCACTAGAGAGAAGTCTGTCGTTTCACCAGTAGATCCAGTTCTAACATTTTGATTAAAAATTACGAGGTCAAAAAACATATTCATGGGTGAATCGTTCACAATAAGAACAATAACATGCATTTAGGAAATTGATAGCACAAATTTTCATTTAATGCTGAACTTAAGTTCTGTCATGACAACTCTCGGAGAGATTGGCATGGTAATGTACATGACAATGTTAATGTATTTGGTCTTGGCGGAATAGATCTGCTACGCTGCTGCTACAGCAGAGCAAGTACCGAGACTTGCTACTGCCAATACATCCACAACATGCTGCTGTGAGCATGTAAGAAATATTGCTGCTGCAAATATAACATACATGATATGACCCCCATATAGCATACATGAATCACCTCATAGCAGATCTATACAGGTGGAGCTGGGGAAGGTGGAGGGTTTCTTGCTACGGCAAGCACTAGTCATTTATTTGAATGCTGAGCAGCGAGCTCATTGGCTACCGATACAGAAGAGAACCAATCAGCTGTGCCATGTGATAATGATGTCATTAGGTCAGACTGAGTTAGACCTATCAGACTGCGCCATCTAGAGTTTCATGCCAGAACTCTGTATTTGAACCTGCAACCTGCTTACCTACCCCATGTTTACTGAAATCAAATATCATCAGTCACAAAATCAACATGATAATTCAAAGTGATTACAAAGCACTAGCATTTTTGATCATTTAGAAACCTAAAGTACATACTTTGGCCACAAGAGGAGACTCTGGTCCAGGTAACAAGCTTTCCTGAGGTCCACAAACATACCTCTACACACCTGCTCCAATGCACTGCGGTCTAAATCACCTACAATGAGAAGAGAGCTCCATGAGCTGATATATATAGTGTATAAAATAATATACAGTTTACAGCATAGTATAGTATACAGGGTTTCCATGGTCACCTGGAAATATTAACATTGTTTTCCAGGCCTGGAAATTAATAAAGAATTTAAAATGTCATTGAAATTCCAGGAACAATCAAACACCACTCACATTCTCAATCCTATAGCGTTCCTGTAGCTCAAACAGTAGAGCATGGAGCTAGCAACACCAAAGCAATATACTGTAAGTCAACGAATGCAATATAAGTCGCTTTGGATAAAAACGCTTGCCAGGTGTATAAATGAAATTTCATATACTGATACATTTTCCAGTTGTAGAATGTTGGGCTTTATTTTCATAGTATTGTGTAGTAATGGCTGTATTAACTGACCTACTTCCAGTGAGAATTGGGGTTCACCCTTGTCAGTGCGTCCCAGAAGAAAAGATTCGTTACTGTTTGTCCTTTCCAACCTTCTCCAGTATGTGTTCCAAATCTAGAGAAATGGGCATACAAATGCATATGCAAAATCCTTTTATTTACGTAATGGAAGAGTTTAAATGGAGTTGTACTGAAACCTGAGGTTTTTAGAGAAGCCAGTGTGTAAATGCCACTGTTGGTCTTTCGCAGTAGAGGAGAAAGCTTATGATACAGTAGAAAGTTCCCAGACTTCAGTGCCTCTCGACATGCCTCATCGTCCTCCTTTAATCTCTTACGGTACCTAAACAGGAATATTTTATTTTATATTCAGAAGTTAAGAAAAAAATGACTTGAATTGTCCATAATTCATGCTAGGAAATATTATAGATAACGCTTAATAATACTACCATTTATTTTTTTTAAATAATAGTAGTAGTAATAATAATAAAAAAATAACATGAATAAGAATTCAGAAACCAAAGAATGTTTAACGGATTGTTAATTTTTGTTAATTAGGTCATTCACCTCAAAACATCAACACATAAAAAGATAAAGAAAATAATAGCTGTTTTAGGACTGTTTGCACTTTAAACTCATGAAAAACTTTTTTTTTTTTAAATCAACAGAGTTAACTCTTTGTGTACTTATGTCACATAACTATTTTCATTTTCTTACGTATTATAAAATATATTTTCTTTTGACCTGGACATGTTCTTGACAGCTTTTGTGAGATTCATCCAAACACCTATAAAAAGTTATATTAATTCCAGTCCATCAGTACATTATACTTCCAGTACTACAGTGGCATCCTATTTCATATTATAAATAGATGTATTTTAAAGAAGACAGACCTCACTCGAGAGACATAATATCCAGAGTAGGAGCGTGATAGCACCAGGTTACAGTTGAAGAAAAGCTTGAATGACTGCAGCATGTCTAAAAGCTCCAGAGGATAATGCCTGTATGTTCAATACAAAGGTTTTAACAAACGTTCACATTTGCTCGACCTAAATGAAACTTGTTCAACAGTCATGCAGGGCGTATGAGACAGAACTTGCCCTTGAAACAGACGTAAACTGGCAGTACAGACTCTTCTTTCAGTATCACCGTTTCCTGTAAATAACAGTTTCTTTGATTTTATTCGTGTAAAGGCACGGCCAAAGGCGAATGTCACAAAAATACATAGATAAGTTATTTGTAACAGAGCACATCGTCGTACTACTGGTGTCTAAAATTTTGGAGTCACAAGCTTATTTATCCCTCTGTCGATATACATGTGTGATTACACAAAGAGCTCTAATGTACATTATTTCTGCTCTTTATGTCTGTACATGATTGCACTAACAAAAGGTACCAAAAGTGCCATGCTATTACTGTGCTTTTAGATATCCCTTCTGAAAAAGAAGTGTGCTTAATTGTATTGTGTGTGCACTTTTTAAAGACTTGAAATCTTTTGAAAAAGTTATTAAAAAACTGTACTTGCAGATAATATAATATTAATACAATAAAAGGGCACTTAAGTGCATATAAGTGACTATGACTAAATACACTTAAGAAAGAAATCAAACGTTTCATTAGCCTACATTTTAATTCATTGTTTTAATAATTGATTGATTCATTGTTTTATTTTGATGTGCTGTCTAACGAACTAAAGCACAAGTTTAACTGTTATTTTATATTGCATTTAAATTTGATGCTTAAATGATAATTAATATACATTTTAAAATACATTTTCTTGTCATTGTAAATGCAATTGCAATTAAATCTCTGAAAACATTCAGTTTGTATAAGTATTTTCTTATAAAGTATATTATTTACATAGCACTTATTTATATTTATACATATATTTACATATATAGTTATAGCACTTGCATATCATTGCTCTTTTGTAGATTTTGATTGCTTCCATTGTCCTTATTTGTAAGTCTTTGGATAAAAGTGTCTAAATGTAAATGTAAATTATTTCCTTACTAAATACTCTTTTTAAAAATGCTAATTCTAAAGCTAAAGTGTACAATTTTTCACAAGGGATACAGTGGTGATGTGAGTTTTTGGACATGGTAAAACTACGGAATTCATTGAAGTACCTTGAAATATGTAAATACCATGTTATTTACACTATATATGTAAAATAAACAATTATTCAAGACCATAGTCAAGGTATTATGACATGCAGAGGCGGACAGTAACTAAGTACATTTACTTGAGTATTGTACTTAAGTACACTTTTTGGGTATCTGTACTTTACTTGAGTATTATTTTTTCTGGAAACTTATGACTTTAACTAAACTACATTCTTTTCACTCCACTACGTTTCTATCAAGATCCTCAAAGTAGAAAGTCGTTAGCAGCTTTAAAAGTCAGTGGGTGATTTTTTTCCTCTCTAAAACGTGACTTTCTTTTTTCAGACAGTTTATCAGTAATCACTCTTGTAGGGCTACATGAAGTGAACTCCCTGCATTTTTTGAGCACTGACCAGTTCCAAATGTGATATTTATTTACAACAATTCAATAAGAAGAAGTTAATATTGTGGTTTATATTAGACACAATATTTTCTGATTTTGCTAAATTGTGTAGGTGAAAATATTACCTATAAAGCCACAGAAGAACTGTTGTGCGTCTCCTAATAAAACACAAAAGGTGTTTGACTTGAAGCAGCACTGCAGACCGTTCGGTGTGTGACATCAAAGTACAGCGAGAGCGATTAGACAGCAATTTTTTAAATTTTTGTTTTGATGTCAAATAAGTCTTGCTGTTTCGTTAAAGCAGTGTTGCTGTTGTAAAGTTATACATTTACAGTTGTGTTGCCGGGTTTTAAAGCAGGTTTGATTTTTTATTTTCTTCCTTATCAGTCTGTATTTACAGCAATTTCACTGTCCACTCTGTTCAAATGTGGATGAATGGCTACACATAGATGTGTCCAGAGCTGTGTGAGATCACTACCCTCCTGATTTTGTGGGGTAGGGGTGTTAAATAATAATAATTATTTTGTTTTGTTTTTCCCCATAGGTTTTTAACATTCTAAAAGCTCTTTATTCCAAAGATACTACAAGCTAGTCAGTGTATTCAGCAGGTGTAATGTATTGTAAGTTGCTTCCTTTTGTGGGGGTGGGTAGGGGTGTTAAATAATAATAATTATTTTGTTTTGTTTTCCCCCATAGGTTTTTAACATTATAAAAGCTCTTTATTCCAAAGATACTACAAGCTAGTCAGTGTATTCAGCAGGTGTAATGTATTGTAAGTTGCTTCAGAGGTATTGCAAGTATTACACTGTAAAAAAAATTATGTAAAATTTACGGTAAAAAAAACGGCAGCTGCGGTTGCCGGAATTTTACCGCAAAAAATACGGTAGCAACGTTTTAGGTTTTACGGTTTTAATTTAAATTTACAGTTAAATACCGTAATTTCATTAACTGATATAATGTTAATATACCAACCTAGTGAAGTACTGAAATCTGTTTTGTACTGACAGCGTTTAATTGTAATGGAGTAATATTTGACCAGCAGTATCTGTACTTTCACTCAAGTAATGGAGGTGTGTACTTTGTCCGCCTCTGATGACATGTGATAGTTACCATCATTGTACCACAGAAGCCTACTTTTTAAAATATCTGTATCATTTTATTTCACTTTTATTTGTTTTAATGATGTGTATGTATTGGTTTTTGCTATTTTACCTTTGTCTCAGACCTCCAATCTTTTTTTAGAGGGGTTTTGACCACTTCTTTAGCTGGTCAGGCTGGGAGGGAATGGTTTAAAAGTAAAAACTTTACAGTACATACAAAACTGGAAGAAATTATACTTTCCAGTAGTTCAGCTTTTTATGTGACAGTGGGGGACTGTTGCACAGTTGCTCTTTATGAACAGCAGATGGCGCTGCGGTTCAATCATTTGTCCTCTGTAGATTTTCCCGAGTTCAGCTGAGCTCTGTAGCAACCGAGCCGCTGAGGAGCGAGAGTGGGAGAGGAGCTGACCAAACAACATTTTCCCATTTTGCTATATCGACTCATTCCAGGGAGGAACAGTAAGTAGACCTGTTTATTACGCTGCAGTAAACATATCTAACGTTAGAGATAATCGCATACTCTCACTATCACAGACGCGGCTCGAGACACTCTAGAAATTTCCCCGCATATTTCCATAGTTTTCCCGTTCGGTGTGCTACCAATGCTCGCTTTCCTTGTAAAAAACCGGTTGTCAACATATTTCCCTATATTTATATAATTTTTTTCTCGTGGATTTGGGGGCGTAGATTTGACCAGTTGATGGAAAACCATCTTGCGTTTTGGTTAAATAAAAAACAAAACACTGCGATCATAAAATCTAATAACTAATATATAAACTAATATCTATAAGGTGATAATAAAGTCAAGTGCGCTTATTTATTAAACCATAGTACCAAAATGATGTAATTAGTTCCATTTTATTAGAATCAGTTCATTTTAAAATGAGAAGAGTTGAGTCTCTTTAGTCTGCTTTGAAAGTATGAACGGGTTAAAGATCATTTGCAGCGTGAAGAGCTGCAGAAAACACGTTTACAACTTCACGAGTTATAAGAATGAAGTAAGAAGTCAGTCTAGTGAAGTTACAGTGTTTCTGGTGATGTACTGGGGGAGGGGAAGGGACGTGGCACTCCTCCGTTTACAAATATCCCGCTTACTACCGTAAAACATTGTAATAATAACAGTTATTCGTCTGTTATAACCAGTGTTGGGGGTAACGCGTTACAAGTAACGCGAGTTACGTAATCAGATTACTTTTTTTCCAAGTAACTTGTAAAGTAACGCATTACTTTTTAATTTACAAGAGAATATCTGAGTTACTTTTTCAAATAAGTAACGCAAGTTATTTTTTTTTTCTAATTTATTGAGTGACAGCTCTCCTGTCCACGTGTTGAGAGAAATCAGATGTTATTGTAGTTCTAAAATAAATATGAATATGCATTAATTCATCTCACTAACAAAAAACACAGATTCAGTATTCCTCAAAATGAATTTAAAAAATGCAACTCAGAATATGACGCAAACCTGCAATAATTAAATGTTAAACAACACAAATATGCTTTATGTATTCAATCCCATTCTATTAACCAATGTCTTTGCTTCTGGCCTTCGATGATCCAGTGTAACCGTACTAATAATCAAAAATGACTCTACACAAACATTTGTGTGTCTTTTTTTATTGCTGAAGTGTGTTGAAATGTCTTCTTCTGCGTTCTACTGTACGGACGTACATTTACATTTCCTTCAGCCTGAGGCTTATTCATTTCACTTTTGGCGTGAAAAGACTTTTATATTTGCCAAAAATATAAAATAGAACTTTTTTATTTTAAAAACAAGCAAGCAAGCCCTGTCCAGATTTAAAAAGTAACGCAAAAGTAACGTAAAGCATTACTTTCCATAAAAAGTAACGTAATTAGTTACTTTTTTATGGAGTAACGCAATATTGTAATGCATTAAAAGTAACTTTCCCCAACTGCTTATTACCTGTTATAATAATGCAAGTCATTTTATCATTTGGGTTAACATCAGAGCAGACCAGTGTGTTTGCACAAGTACACTTACTTGTACTTAGAAAAAGCACTCCATGGTATTACCATGGTGCATACTGACAAAACATACTATATATATTATTACTACTATACTTTTTGCCAGTGTTATGAACATTGAAAATGTATTTCTGTCCTTTAACATTAGACCGTAAAAAGTCAAGCTGTTATTTTGCATGCACAGTCACATTAAACAACAGGCCTATTTGTGACTGATAATTTATTCATTATCATATGAAGCATGTTTGAGTTTACTTGACATGTATTGTTGCCCCCACCCCACAGTTACACAGTGCACAGTTGTCAAATCCAGTACACTAAAAAAATGCTGGGTTAAATACAACCCAGTGCTGGGTAAAATAGGGACAAACCCAGCAATTGGGCTGTTTTGACCCAGCAGTTGAGTTAAATATTTAACCCAACCTTCTGGGTAGTAACCCAACCGCTGGGTCAAAACAGCCCAATTGCTGGGTTTGTCCCTATTTTACCCAGCACTGGGTTGTATTTAACCCAGCATCTTTTAGTGTGTATATTAATCCAAATGTAAAGCAGTAGGCTATATTCTCTTACAATATTTTATCACGGTGATCATTTTCCAGAAATCCCCAAATAGTTAATCATTTCTAACTTGCTATACATTTACTGTAACTGATTATGGTTTTACCAAACTTAGATTTTGTTACGGTTTGGCCCAGGGGTGTAGTCCTTCTGTATTATGGTGACCACATCTAGTAACCTTCCTTGACTTCACCCCGAGCTATTCCTTTTTTTAGTGTATTCACTGCAGGATTTTAGGCAAGCCTTCTCTACAAGTTAATACTAGTTCCTCAAAGGTTTAGTCAAGTCACATGTTCTGATCACATTCTTGTCTTTTTGAGTTAGGAAAAAGCATAACATTTTTTAAGAGGCACTTGTTTTCACAGGAGGAATCTGAAATGGTTTGTGTGCTACTGTTTAGGTGTTATTTGTGTTTGGGTGAATTCCTGTAGTGCTTGTTTTAGCAGCTTTTGCCCCCAACAGATGGCCGAGTTTTTGGAAATGGCTGGGAAATGCATTCGTATTCGAGTTTTTCTAACACCAAAGCTGAAGTGACGTTTCGGTTAAGCGACGGTCAGAACACAGTTTTCCTAGATATAGCCTACATGTTAACGATTGAGGAACAGCTGTTTTGTCTTGTTTCAGTTAATCATTTTGGTTTGGAAAGTTAAAAGAAGCCCATATTCTTACAAACCCACAACCTGACAGATAAAGCTGTTAGTTTCTACTTTCTCTTGGGGCTTTTTGAACCGATAAAATGAGTGATGTGAATAAAGTGAGTTGCTCAACCCAACCAAACACCCATTGTATGAGTAACCTACTAAAACACGATGAATTGTTCCTAAATACACTGCTGTCTCTGTCTCTGCTGTGGTTCAAACCACTTATAAACAAAAGCGAATAGAGGTCATACTAAATTGGCAGGCTAAACTGAAACTGATATATGAGCAATGTCTGCATGTACTTAGCCATGATGCTAGGGTGGGTTGGGTTTTGTTCAAATGCCTTAGCGAACACCACTAATAAGTATCCACCCAAAATGGTTTTGAAATAATCTGTTTTAAGATTTCTTGTGCAGAATAATTCAACATGCCCTCAAATCACAGGAAGTGGCTTTAATCCTGTTCACATACTGAAAGTATGCACTTCACTGCTGGAATAAAATGTCTTTTGCACTTGCATGTATCGTGGTAGAATGAAATGCAATGAAGTTTTGTTGAAATTGCAAGAATGACTTATATAGCCATATAGTCTTGAAAACATCAGAAAGAATGTGCTGAAAATGACAAAGCATTTTCATGTGTATGCCATCAAAAAAATGAGCAAGAGTGTATATATGTATATATATATATACTATTTATGATGGATGACATGCAAAAAAAAAAGGTACTCTCTAAACAATGCTGGGTTATATACAACCCAGTGCTGGGTAAAATAGGGACAAACCCAGCAATTAGGCTGTTTTGACCCAGCGGTTGGGTTAAATGTTTACCCCAACCTTCTGGGTAGTAACCCAACCGCTGGGTCAAAACAGCACAATTGCTGGGTTTGTCCCTATTTTACCCAGCACTGGGTTGTATTTAACCCAGCATTTTTTAGAGTGTAGCAAAATTATTATAGAAGGAAGAAGTTTGTGCAATCTGCTTGGTTGTTCTGCTCTATTTATAAATTGAAGCTACAGGCTAACTGAATGCAGTCAAGCTGATGGCGGTGAGCTGGCAGCCCCTTCTTGTTTCACAGTGCCAGTGGGGTTTTGAGTAAACAATCTGTCTGGCTCAGAACAACTCATCATGCTCTTGTGTGCTTCACTGCTGAGTAATAACTGCTGAAATACATAGAGCAGCTGTGAGAAATGTATTACTCTGTTAAGGTATTACAGGAATAGTTCACCCAAAAATTAAAGTTACTCACCCTCAAGTCTTTCGAAACCTGTATGACCTATTTTCTTCTGTGGAACATTAAAAAAGATATTATGGGAAATGTCTCAGTGTTGTTTCCTCTCACACACAATGTTAGTTGGATCATGTTAACTTTCTTCACAATATCTTATTTCTACAATGCAGGTTTGAAATGACAAGCTTTCATTTTTGGGTGCACTGTCCCTTTAATGAACGCTTGAGCAACTTACACATGGGTTATAAACTTCCGTTTTTTGTGAAAATGATTTGTTGAACTCAATAGATTTTCTTTGTCAGTTCCTGATTTACACTGTTTCTGTTTGTAGCTGTGTGTACATTTGACTTTACAGGCTTTTCATGCAGATGTAATGAATGATTTTGATTCTCCATTTAGATGTAATGTGCCCATCTTTCGCATAAACTATTAACCACTTCCACTTCCAAGCCTTTTCCCATAGGAATTTGTTATTTGATTTGTAAATGATCAGGTTTGCTTTAATTTCTGCTGGATTGTTGTTGTTTTTTTTACTTGCCCTGCCAACATTTTCACTGGCTCCAGCACAAAATAATAAAACATTTTTATTTTTAGCCATGCATTATTATATTTTGCACAAAGCATTCTTTTAAAGAAGGTTCTTTATAAGTTCCAAACAAAATAGTTTGGGGAAAAAAACATTGAAGAAAAAATGAAGCACATCAAGCTGAAAAGCACTCGGCTCACAAACACACTTCTGCTGGAGATAGATAGCATATTCTAAGCATTACTGGTTGGTTTGTTGTTTTCAACACATTCTTACTGATGCTTTCAATATTGTCTCAACTCAGTTATGCAAATTCGACCAAACTTGTGTTGACCGTCTGGATAAATTTATTTTGGTGACAAATCATCAGAAACCAATTACACGCTCACCTGAATGCTATTACACACACTATATAACCCCTACCCTGATCCTGCTCTAGTCGCCGAGTATTGTTCAGCATTTATCGCTCACCTAGGGATAGCTACTTTACGGAGCCCTTCCAAGTTCATGAGTCTAGCCTTCTTCATAGTCTGTCTTCCCGTGTCTTGATCCTAGCCTGTTATCTCGTCCTGTCTGATTTCTGCCTGCCCTGAAGTTTATAGCCTGTCTTGGATTTACCCTTTGCCTTGCTGATTCGGACTGTGTTTGCTCCTCGATTGGATTTTTGCTTGTTTTGGATTCCTCTTTTGTCTTGCCCTCAATATACCTGTTTGCCATTGTCAGATCCTTGCCTGTTTTTATGACCACGCCTTTAAATAAAAGCTTTGCAGATGGATCCGCACGTCTCACGTCTCTGTCGCCCCGTAACATTATAAATAGTTACAAGCTGTTGTACAACTGTATAAAACTTTACACTTACTAAACAGAGCAAACAAACCAAACAATATAACAACAAACACAATGTACTTGATATAGACACAGTATAATAAAAAAAAAACCTAGAACATTTCTGATTTATATATTTATTTATTTTATAATTTTATTTGATTCAGGATTCATTTCAGTAAACATAGTGTATTTTAATAGTTTTAGTTAACGATAACTCTGCAACATTCAAATATACAGTTCAGCAGTCATTATACAAAAATATTTGGCCTCTCAGTCACATTATTGATCAGTCAGAATCAAGCTCAGAGAGCTCTGTAACAGTATCTAAATCTAATTTTTTCTCTTTTATGTCGTGTGTTGAAAAGGGTGAAGATGGGAGTTAGGAGTGTGTGCTGTATTTTACTCATCTCTCTGATAAAGTCTTTCTCTGCTCACGGTGACTTCTTCACATCCATTGGTATGCAGCCTTTTCACCTTTTTATACATTTATCTTTGAAATGTTCCTACAGATTCTAACAGGCAGCATAAGCCTCTAAACCCCTGTGTTCATGAATGTTTACCACTGCAAGTTATGCTATTAATAGAACATTAGAAGATGCAGCTGACAGGTGTTGTGGAGAAGTAGGCCGGTCATTCACTAATCACCGATGCTCGGTTTAACCTGGGCTCTGTGTTGGCAGGTCACATGACAGATTTGCTGTTCACAGAAAAAGACCTGGTGACGTCATTGAAAGACTACATCAGAGCAGAGGAGAGCAAACTGGAGCAAGTGAAACAGTGAGTAGCAAGTATAACAAGTATAACTCATACCTGTTTGAATTGGCAATGACTGATTTTGTTCCAATTCAATGCTTAAGATTACGTTTCAATTCCAATTATATGTTGATAAAACTTGACTATAGTGATATCTAGGGGTGTAATAATATCGTTAATATGTCATTATATTATCATTGAGATACTATTATATTTTTTATTCATATTTTGCATTAGTTTTTATTTTTTGGTTTTTGTTTTAACTTGAGTAAAAATTTTAGTAATTATTATTATTATTATTTTGTCATTTATATTAGTTTTAGCAGGTTTAGTTATTTTAGTGCATCAAGTTAAACTAAATGAGAATGTTTCCTTGGTAAATGGCTGACTAAAAGAAGTTCATATATACATATATATATA